AGGGAGGGGGCGCCTGGGGAGCGGGGGTGGGCTCTGCGATCCCCCAGCCTGATATCGCCGCCCTCCCCCGTTGGCCCGGGGCTCTAGGTCTGCCAGCTCGGTGTCCCAGTTTCCCTCTTTGAAGATGACTGTTCTGAGCCCCACCTGGACAGAGCTAGGAGCAGCCATTTCCTTCCCTGGAGCTATGACGCCCACCTGACACCCTCCCACCTCTGCCCTGCTCGGGGAGCCAGGTTCAGGGAAGGATGAGGATCCAGGGATCTGGGAAACGGGCAATGGTGGGTGACGGAGGCTGGGCACTGGAGGGTCCTGTGGCACTGGTGGGGTGCACCAGCCTTGGCAGGAAGGTTGCCGGGGGTTGGGTGGGCAGGCGCTTCCTGGCATCACCTGCCTGGAAAGCAGCAGGCCAGGGAGAGTCAGGCTGTCCCCATGTGCCTGGAGACAAGACAGTGGGGGTTTTTGTGTGCTTGCTTGCTTTTGTTTGGCTGTGCTTTCTTTCTTTCTCCGTCACCCTAGATCCCAAGACTCGTTGCCCTAGTCTCTCCTATTTTGGAAAAAATGGAAATTGAGGCAGAGGACATGCTGGCTGGAGATGCTTGTGTCTAGGAGGGAAGGAAGGGTGGTGGAGAGGAAGGCACATGAATTTGGAATTAGAAAACCTCAGTGCAGGGCTTGTCTCCATGTTGCATGGGTGACCTTGAGCCAAAATGCTTCCCCTTGTTGGGCCTCAGCTTTCTCATCTATAAAGTGGGAGAAGGCCCACCTATCCTGAAGGTTCACCAAGACAAGATGTGTCTAAAAGAGCTTTGTAAGAGGGCATGCACTGGACACACGTCAGGTGCAATCTTCACCAAAGAACACGAGCCCCTTCCCTCCTCCCTGCCCTCACCAAGAGTGTCGCTGATCCACAGGGTGCCTTTATGTGAATTAGACAAAGTATCTCTGTTAGTGGACAGTGTTCAACTGGACTAGCGACCTGGGGTCTTTAGGATGAGAATCATGAGAAGGTGCACTTGACTCCTGGTGCCATGCCAGCGGCAAGTGGACTGTGGGCCCTGTCTGCACCCTCAGGTGAGCGTCCTAGTAGAGGGCACCTTTGCACTGCTGCACATGGCAACCCTTCTCAGCAGCTCCCTGGCGTGCCCGAGAGACACAAAGCTGTACACACTGCTAGGGTGTTTTCTAAAGCCCACATCCCAAGCTGTCCTCTGCTCATTTCTTTCCTGCACTGTTTCCACTTCAGGGCCTCTGGGTATTCATGCCACAAAGCCTATGCCCTGCTAGGAAGCAGGATGGAATCCCACCATCACAGAGTGACTCCTCTGAGCTAAGCAGTGCCCTCACCAAGCTATGGGGTAGGAGTGACTGACTCCCTAACCCTTTGCCTCAAGAACGGGATCAAATCGCTTTTCTCAGGCCAAGAGCAAAAGCCAGGGTAGCACTGCCGTGTACAAACCACATTCACACCTGCTGTCTCAAGAGCATCCTGCATCAAGCCTGTGAGATAGGTCTCTTCCCGGTTGACACGGGAAGCAACGCCCAGAGGAGTTAAGGAACTTGCCACACAGCGTGAGCGGTAGGGCCAGGACGGGAGCCTAGACCTGTTCGTCCTCTCCATTCCACCAAGTCACTGACTTCACAGCCTTGCCAAAGCCTAGCTGGATTCCCTGCATTCCCTCTCCATCCCCAGCAGCCCGTGGTTCGTTCTATCTCTGCAGTGACCAGTCCCCAAGGCGAGGGAAGGAGTCTCCTTTTTTCTTCTGAATTCAAGGAAGGGAGCCACTTCAAAACCAACAGTTCTGGCCTCCTCAGTGTAGGAAGGGCCCCTAGAGAGCCCGGCGATCCGGAGTGAGAACTCACCCCTGAGAGCTGACCCACTAGTGGGTCAGAGGCCAGGGAAGGGGTCAGGAGGCAGCTATTTTGTTTCCCACCCTGATGGGACTCCAACAGTAACTGTCATGGGGGACATCGGCACACTGACAGCCGGTGCCCACTAAGACATAGATCGGGGGCCGTAAGAGAGCCAGAGGATAATGTAGCCAATGCAGGCAGAGGGACGCTCAGAACCCCCTGAACCCCCCTGGGTGCAGACTGAGCTGTAGGCCCCTCAACCGGAGCATTTCTGCTGGTCTGTGGTGCGTGTGTGTTCGCTTTCACTTGAGAAAGGGGTTTCAGTGCATACACACGCGTGGAGAATTACTAGCCCAATCCAACGGTTCTCAAAGTGTGGTCCCTAGACTAGCAGCATCAGCATCCTCGGAAACTTGTTAGGCATGCAGATTCTCGGGCCCCATCGCAGACCGACCGAATCCACTCGGGGCTGGGGCCAAACGATGTGATTTTTTTTTTTTTTTTGAGTCTCATTCCGTCACCCAGGCTGGACCACAGGGGCACACACGCTCACGGTTACCCCAGCGTCGGCCTGCCGGGCTGCGGCGACCCTTCCGCCTCAGCCTTCCAAGTAGCCGGAACTACAGGCGCGCGCTACCACGCCCGGCTGATGTTTT